TTAGACCTTAAGATCTCAACAGAGACTGGCCAGAAGGAAAAAGCTTTAAATGTGGGTTTTAATATGCAGCCTGGTTAAAATGATCATTAGATCTTGCATTGTGTTTTGTAGCCATGGTTTTCCAGGAGTTACCCATTTATGTTAAATACAGTATGAATACATAGCTCAGCCATTAGAAGTAATTTGACCAGCACTGCTCTTGATGATTTATCAAGGTTTTTTTTTTTTTCTGGGTTTCATAGGGGTCAAGGAGAGCTTTGGGCCTTTGGAAATACTCATTTTAGAGCAGGTAGTTGTTAGTCACATTCGACTTGTTCTGTAATGTCACATTTTATCCATGCAACAGCTCCTGTTTTAATGTTAGAAGTCTATTTGAATGTACCACTACTAGCTGTACTATGACATGGATGTACAATACTCATTAGGGGGAATTTATCAAAACTGGAGCAGACAGAATCTGGAGCAATGGTGCATGCCAACCAATCAGCTTTTATCTTTCAATTTCAAACTATAACTGGACAAACTGAAGCGAGAAGCTGAATGGTTGCCATGGTCAACTGTTCCAGATTTTGTCTGCTCCAATTTTGGTAAATTCCCCCATTATAGATATATTTCAGTTTTTGAAGAGAACAGAACTATTATAATCCTTTCTTAGCCTTCACCCATTGGCCACATTTGGGAGAATATTATGGCATTATTTTGACAAACAGCAATACAGTAAAAGATAAAAAAAAGTCTAACTGCTCATTGACTATGGGAGAACTTAGATTTAGGTTGTTTAGCTTCAAATAATCCAATATACGATCCCTTTTATCCTTAACATACACTACGGGTCAAAAGTTTTAGAACACCCCCAGTTTAATGTCTCAGTGTACTCTGAAAATAAAGCATAGAACAAATAAACAATTGGACATCCAAAAGAAATCATGAAATCGTTTTCTTTAATTGGCGCTGACTCGAGTATAAGCCGAGGGGGGCACTTTTCACCCAAAAAAATGGGCTGAAAATCTCGGCTTATACTCGAGTATATACGGTAGAAATAATTACACAAAACAATAATATAATAATAATAAATTTAATTAATGTATTCAAACCAGAAACACTGACATCTGTCCAAACAAGGGTGCAATATTACTTTAGTAAACATCCCGGGTATGATAAACTTTGAAACATGGGACAGCACAAAGTCTGACGTCACAATCAGGACAATGGAAACTGGTTTCTTTTCTGATTTTTTTTGCCACTGTCATCCCGCTTCGAGCAACAAACCACGCACATCCTTGTAGGTGCTAACTTTTTCTCTGTTGGCGGGATGTGGTCCATGAAGTGACGACCAGTCAGGCGTTCTGGGTTGACAACGCCAAGAGCACGACGTCCAGATCTGTTTACTGATGGCGTTTGGTTGTTCAAAAAAATGTGTTCAGAAATTTTCCAAATGAAGTCCAAATGCGTCACAGGCTTGCCACTCTGTTTTTTTGAGCAGAACATAGGCACTGCCCGCACAAGCACTGCTCAAGAAGATGCCTGAAGAGCTTCTTATAATACTTCTTCTGCAGTTTCCGCATTGCTGGGTAGAATGTCATGGCTTGGTCGGCTCTGTCGACATCTCCCATGGTGTTATTATAGTCTATTACTACTTGTGGCTTCATGATGTCTCTCTCACCTTTCGTGTGTACCATAGCAGTGGAGGCATTATGCACAGTACTCATTAGGCACACATATTTTTTGTCGCACCATCGCAGTGCCATCATTTTGCCTTTCTGCCAGGCAACCAATTCTCCAACCTTCAGCTTCTTATTGCCAAACACTGATGGCATGTCACATCGGTTAGGCCTAACGCTTCCATAGGCATCTGTTTTGTGTTGCAGAAGAAAGTCATAAAGTTCTGTAGATGTGTAAAAGTTGGCCGTTGTTACACAATAGCCCTGATTCAGCAATGGCTCAATGAGAGAAAGAACGGAAGATGTTGCCATTCCATAGCTGCTGTATTTTGGATCGAATTTGGTTCCTTTTACTGTGTATATCACGGAGTTCCAAATGTAGCCAGTTGATGATTCACATAGTATATAGGTTTTGACGCCAAATCGTGCTCTCTTTGATGCTATATATTGAACCCAGCTGAGCCTTCCCTTGTAGGCCATTAGACTTTCATCTACGGTGATGTCTCTTTCTGGCACATAGCTTTGTTGGAAATTCCTCACAATCATTTGGGATACCTTCCAAATTTTTTTCCGTTTTGATGCAGGATGAGTGGTTTCATCGAATTCTTCATTGTTTGTGAAGTGTAAAAACTTCATGATGAGGGTAAACCTATACTCCGACATGACCGTGCCAAAGAATGGAGTGGCAAGCATTTTATTGGTTGTCCAATACCACTTCTGCAGGGTTTCCCCTCCACTCCCTGAAGAATTATTAGGCCCAGAAACTTCCAGATGTCATCTTTCGTCACAGGTTCCCACTTTCTGTTTCTGGAAAACTTCCCATGCAGAGTAGCTGATTGTTGCTCATTGTACCGGTTTGTCTCGGTAACAATTTAATCAATAACCTCATCGGTCAGAAATAATTTTAGGTATGCCAAGGGGTTGTCATGTTCAACCTTGGGGGTGCTGCATCATCCATACCACAGTCAATAGAACACCAAGTTCGCACATCACTTAGCTCGGTCGCAGAATCGTCGCTTTCATCACTTTCAGTGTCTGACGACGAACTTCCCCACGAATCGCTGTCGCTCAATTCTATAAGTGATTCCACATCACTATCGCTATTTTCAAGCTGGTCAAAAACCGCTATTGACCTCAGCGGACGCTTTTTGGATGCCATGGACGCTCTTAAGTTTTCCAGGCAAATAGAATGGTAAAAGTGCAGGCAGGGCACTGGAAAAACCTACAGGGACAAAGCTGAGGTGAAATAATTAAATCAGCAATGTAATAGCAGTGTATACAATGTAATACAATGTATTATGTGTGTTTTAGGTGTATTTACGTTTGAATTTCCCGCCGGATCCGCCCCCCTGCAACGCTTATGCTAGCGTACGCTGGAGACGGATGCCATTATTGGTCGAAGAAGACGAGCGGACACCGCGGGGATCGAGGGACGAGGTGAGTGTGAATTCAGGGTATTCCCGAGTGTGGCTCGGGGTTACCGCTCCTGGTCAGGAAATTTAACCTCGAGCCTTTTGCGGATATAACAGCCCAACACATTTGTGGCATTCTTTCTACAATGGAAATCAAATATTGTTAAGAAAGTTATTTCCGTCACTGTTGCAGAAGTTCCCACAAATGTGTTGCACTTGTAGATTGCTTTGCTTTCACCCTTCTGTCCGGTTCATCCCAAACCAGCTTGATGGAGTTTAAATCTGGAGACTGTGCTAGACATTCCATGATTTGAAGACTAAAGTCTTGTTCTTTTTTCTAAGGTAGTTCTGGAGGTATTTTTTGGGGTCATTATCTTGCTGGAGGATGAACCCCTGACCAACTAGGTGCACACCAGAGGAAAGAGCAAAAGAGCCTCAGACCATCATGCTTCCTCCTTCATGTTTGACAGTTGGTGTCACACACTGAGGAACCATCCTTTTGCCTACTCGGTGGCATATAAAAACCCTGCGTGATGGACCGAAGATCTCAAATTTTGATTAATCGGTCCCTAAGATCTTCTTCCAGTCTTCAGTAGTCCACTGACTGTGCTTCATGGCCAGGCAGGCCTATTTTTTTTGCCATCTTGGCATTTGGCTTGACCCGTCAAACCTGCAGCTCCAAGTCTTCTCTTCAAAGTTGAAACTGAGACCTGCTTACCTCGATCTGTGCTGTGCTTGAAGCTGTAGTCCTGTGAGCCGTCTGTCACGCAAGCTGTTGACTCTCAGAAACTTGTCTTCTGATTCTGTTGTGGCTTTGAGTCTGCCAGACCTCTTCCTGTTAAGAGTTTCCTCTGGTTTCCAAGTGTCTTTTTATGGTGTAGGAAACTGTGCTCACTGACACCTTGGCTTTCTTTGCAATTTCTCTAAAGACCTACACTTTTAAAGGTTATAATGGTCTATCTGTCTTCCTTTGCTAAGTGTCTTTTTCCCACCATTTTGAGAGCAGTATACTACTTCCTGCAGTACAATACTGTCCACATATTGCTTAAGATGGTGTAGTAACACAGTCTGCTCCAACACTGCTATTATACAAATAGAAGGCTTGTGAGTAATCAACAAAAGTTGGCACACCTGTACGAATTGTTAGCAGAAACATTCAAGGCTTAATTTACTTACACTGCTGCAGAACAACTGTGAGTTATTAACCCATTACTACTTCCCTGAAAAAGGCCTTTTTGTGTAACTCTAAAATGTAAATTATTTTTCAGTTTTCGTTAACGTAAACTTTTTTTTTTCTCCTCTGGCAGTTTATGGTTTACCTTTGTACCATTTCAGGTTATTTACTGGACTTGAACTGTTACATTTCAGCCAAAAAATGGGGTTGTACTAAAATGATTGACCAGTAGTGTATACATTTACCATTTGCCATTGGTTGACTGAATGGGACTTATATTGGAAGCCATATTTTCATCTGTATTCTTAGTAAGAAACTGTAATGAAAAGAATAAACGTTTCTAGCCATGCATATCCACTTTTTGGTTATTGATTGGTAGATATGCATTACAATAATTTTCACAGATTTACTACTATCATGGTATCAAATTGTCTACTATGTTAGAATCACACAGAAGACTAATGTCTGAGCACATTGGCCTTTCAGCAGAAATGTAAAGTTTTCAGTTCAACTCCTAGGGAAAGATTCTTAGTCATGGAGTAGTTAATAGGTACATCCCTGGTACCTTTACCTTTAATGAAGCCCACTTTCACATATCTAAACCAGCTAAAATAATATGTATATTGTTACAGTATTTAGCTGGATGTAAACACAGTAACATTCTAAGAAATTAAAATATCAAGTTACACATTTTTATTGCCAGTTACTGTAATATATTCATTTGACACAGAAATTATTTTGCTTGTCTTTTAGCACTTTCAATGACCGGCCAATGTGCAGAATATGCCATGAAGGAAGTAACCAAGAAGATCTCCTTTCTCCATGTGAATGTACTGGAACATTAGGGACAATACACCGCAGCTGCCTGGAGCACTGGCTTTCGTCGTCCAACACCAGCTACTGTGAACTCTGTCACTTCAGGTTCTCTGTGGAACGCAAGCCTAGACCATTAGTAGAGGTCAGTCAGTAATGTACTGTTACAGCTTTGCAGTTACACTGACTTGATTCTTTCTGACATATGATTCTACACTGCAATCCACCATTACAGATGGGTTGGGTTATGTTGCAAAACATGTCTTGCAGTTTTAATTTTCTGTGATCCATAACAGATTTTATTCAATGTTTACTAATTTTACTAATTTTAATTTTTGATAGTAAATATGTTTTCTATTATTTATTAATATATTTTTAATAGTAGAAAATAATAGTTGATGGAGGTGTTGTTGTTAAAATCAAAGGTTATATATTTAATAGCCCCCTAAAACGAAACATTAAATGCTCACTTCTCCTGCTGCCCGCGCCGCTGATCTCTTCAGTAGTGAAGATAAAGTGCCAGTTGAAGAGTCTGCAGAATCAGACACTTCTAGAAGAGTTGTATTTCTGGTCCCCCAATGCACTTATTTGTTCAGTCCGTCATCAGAATGTCACGTCTGTGTCCTGTAATAACGAAGAAATTGGCAAGAAGGGACCACAGCGAAGCAGGGTACCAAGAAATTGACACTCCCTGGTCAGATTCTGCTGGATATTCAGCTGGTAGTTTATCTTCACAGCTGCAGAGTCTGCCAACATGGGCAGTGAGTTTTCAATGTCTTCTTTGCTTGGAGTCATTGAATATAAAGTTTTTAAAGGATACCTATTGGCAAAGACTAAAAATTAGTATGTACAATTTGCATGCCCTATGAATTGAATGGCCACCTTACATTTTTTGTAATGCTCATACGCTTGGATCCCTTTTACCAACTGCAGCAAAGTTAAGATTTCGGAGGCCCCAGTGATGTCATCATTCACGGAATATGTAAGTAAAAAAAAAATAAAAATATCAGAATTCTGTCTACAAAGTTAGGGGGACTTGCAAGGGGAAAGGACTAAAGATGACTTATTAATAATAATAAACAAAAAAACCAAGAACACACATGGAAGTCTCTCCTATTTTTTGGCTGTTTTATAACAACACAAATGTTGCTTGTCTGGCCAATGTTTACTTAGGCAGGCCAATGGATGAGTTGATTTCTGCCCATCTCTTTGCCTTATTATACATGCCTGATTCTTGTGAGATTTTTCAACAGCCCAGTAATCACAAGCACTACCAGCTTTTACTCAGCTGTCTATGGACAACCTAATAATTTCATCTTGATGTGCTAATATTTTATATTACAGGGAACATAAAACCATTTACATCAGTATTTGCATTGATCTGCAGGGAATCATGTTATTCATGCAGCTAGGCAATTAGCATTCATGATTTATTTGCTGCAGATAGGATAAAAATTGCATTCAGGTGGATCAGAAATCTGACGATGCGATTCAGCAAATTCATACAATTTGCACTTAAATTTGATTGACTCTAATCAGAATGTAAATTAACATTTTTGTTTTTGAATTGTGAAAAGAAACTGGAGAACCCATGCAAGCAAATCCATGGAAAAGCATGGAGATTGTTTTCAATTTCTGTCCATAACAGATTTAAGCCCAGAACAGCAGCACTGCAAGGCATGGTACAATAATTTATGATAACCGTTCTTTCTTCAGCATGCTTTACAAATGGGTTTACAAATGTTTAGCATCCACACGTTTAACAAAGGCAGATGTATATCAATTGGGAACCACACTGTTGCCTTTTTGTTGATAAGGTTTTGGGATCTTAAGTCTGCAGACTGCATTCTGCATTTTATACATAAATGTATCTAAATTTGGCAAGTAATTAGTGCACATATATGATCTTTCTTGAAATTCTAAATAATATTTCTGTGTTGAAATACTTGTCTTAAAACATCAAATGATGGATGTTAAGATACCAAGTACCATACCTGGTACAAGTACAGATACTTTTCCAGCCCCAAGACTAGACTTGAAAAACTGAAACGTTAGGAGGCAGCTGTCATTTTTAAGGAGCATTGGCTCTGGGGCTCCTGGGTTTTGTGCATCCCTGTTTAAATGTATGATTTGTTTTATATATATATATACAGTATATATATTAGGGATGTACCGATACCATTTTTCCCAGGCCAATTACAAGTACATGGCCGAGTACTCACATATACAATTACTGATGCCTTTTTGTTTATTGTAATGTGACAGTTTTTCTAAAACAGTACAGACTAATGGTTTGAGGACAGTGGTGGAGCACCAGAGCCAGGTCCCAGCTACAACCGCTGCAACCCTGGTAGTTCTCATGAAAATGCCAAGTATCGGCACTGGTATCTGAACATCTCTACATCAAATAAAGAAATCTTGCATTGTTTGCTGACCTTTTTGGTATGGTGCGAGTTGGACAAGAAAAGGAAAAAACACATGTAATACTGTGTAATATTGGTTTACAGAATCATAACAAAGGAGTTGCTGTGATTTACAGCATTTGTTTCTAAAAATACTAGGTGTTACTACAGAAAGAATCAGTTTAGAATAAGATTTTGGCCAGAATGGCAGTTTCGAATTTATAATTTTATTTCTAATTAGAGTTAATTTTTATCAACTCTAATTCTATTTCTATTGTTGTCTTTTTGCAAAGGCCTGTGGACCACTCACCCTCTTTCCTACCCCATCCTGCTTGTTTTAAACAATCACTGAAACTGAGATGAAAAAACATTTCTGGTGTATTGTAGGCAGTAAAAATGTCTTTTAATCCCTACAGTTCTGAATAAAAGGCAGGGATTGCACATTTTGGAACCATCTTATTTAACCACTGATTATTCCCTTTGCTCCTTTGAAAAGGGAACAAACGTTTTACCATGCCAGTGTCACAGTAGAAATTTTGTTCAGTCAGTGGGAAAGATTGGGAAAGACAGTAGAAATTTTGTTCAGTCAGTGGGAAAGATTGCGGCGTTCCCTGTTGGAGAAGCATTATGGGGAAAAAAGGCATATAAGGGGAAAGCCACACGCAACAAGTCTTGTTTGATCCATATCCACCTCCACTAGCACTAGTTACCAGACAGATTTAAATGTTATAGTTATAAGAAGCCTTCTTTATAAACAAAACCCTTGTGAGCTTGATCCTTCCGTTGCCTAGATGGAATGTGGCTTATTTTTGTGGCTTAATGATAACAGCATTAACTGGAGGTTAACTGGAAATAAGCTACATGAGGAGGTAGGGCAGTCTCCATGGATAGACCATATGAAATGAGCATGTTTCTTAATGGCAAACAGCATTAGAAATAATTGCTTGGTTCTAATTAAGACTTTAGACTTCCCATGCTTCACTAGTGTAAAAATCACTCAGACTGGGTTTGATGAATAACATAATATTAAAAAAAATGTTTCTGTAATGTACAGTAGATGGCCATAAACCAACTTGCAGCACCTGGTGGACAGACTAATGTAAGCTGATTTCTGGTTGCATGTTTGCAGGCATGTAATACTTAGGGTAAAGTATTCCTTGATGTATGTTATGCTTTGGATTTCCATGAACATGGTTGGCCTATGGTAGGTTTAGATCCCAAAATGTATATTTTTCTATCAATGTTTTTTCAGTAGAACAACCAGATCAAGACATTTCATTATATTTTTTAATGAAGTTAAAAGTATAGAAGCAAAGTCCACCCATATTTGGCAACAACACTACTGACACTGTCCAGCCATCCCAAACAACTTCTTCCTCTATTGCATCTGGAAACAAAAAAACACATGTCAGCTTGTATTGGAGTCTAGAAAGAGTGGCGATGTCTTTCCCCCTGCCATGTAAGGATATGCAGTTTTCTGCTAGGCCCAAGCAATGCATTATGGGAGTAGGTTACATGTTCCCCTATACCCAGAAGCACCAGAAAAGGAGCTGTGGGGAATCACTGGACGGGTAGGAATTGGTGGGCTGAGGCAACGGCTTAATATGGATATTGTATCTTTAATGCTTGACTTGTTACACTCATAGAGGCTAATCCAGGTTAAGTACTGTAGTTTTTTTCTAAGGTTTTATATTTTTTACATTTTTATATATATATTTTTACATTTTTATATATATGGTCTTAACTAATTTCTAGATTTTTTTTCATGATATTTTACAGTTAATGATACGTTTCTAAACATTGTAACTGAGAGCAGAACTTAAAATGTATTTATGCCCAATCTTTTTTGATGTTTGAAAATCCCCATGAGCTCTAAAGACCTCATACATGCTCACAAAAATCCATTATTACACACCAGTATCACTTTTGCATGATTGAATGCCTGCTGGAAATTTACTCCAGTTTTGCTTTTCATGTGCTTTAAAACTGATTTTCCCATATCTCTTCCATGTTCCTCTAAGAGATGCAGACAAGGAGCTGAAATTAGAATGTAGATTCTGTGTCTGTTGCTTGAAAGCTGAGGAATTTGCTAGATTAAAGTTCAGACTGACTAAATCACATCATTATAATTGTTTTTTATCCTGCTTGTCCTGATTATTCATGTCATCTGGCTTGTCTGCAGTAAAAGATAACCGTTCAATTCTGACTTTAACAGTCGGAAAATTAACGCGTTCCACGCTGGATAAATTCATCATATGCCAGGGCATCATTAAGCTGCAGGGCTCATCAAATTCTTTATTGATTGACACATAAAGAGCTTCCTATTACTTGTAGCGAGATGACATTTGATGCTGTAATGTTTTTTATTCTGTGTAGGGTACCAACAAGTCAGGCTCTGCCGGGACAATTCTTTTCTCTTTCTTACAACAAATGTCAAGTTATACTGTGTACTTCTAGAGTGTTTTATTGACCTTTATGTAAATGTTTTGGAGAGAATCTTTGGAAAGAAAGAAAACAAAATAGAAAGAGCAAAGGTTGTGAATCGTAAGTGGATTTATTGAAGCGGAATGGGCTAATTATGCTGTTAATTATTCAATGGTGAGAGAACCAGAGCAAAAGTAATGTGGAGCCTGAAGGAGGGAAACCTTTCATTGAATGGTATGCCATCTTGTTACCTAGGGCATCATATGTTCCATTGCGGCTGTCTATAAGAATATACACTATAACGTCCTAGAAGAATTTT